TTGATATATATATATATATATATATATATATATATATATTAACAAATCTAAATTAATAAGCAATTGAATGAAATTCAATTAATATTTAACTAGTTAATATGAAGTAAATAAAATGCTTTATAATTTACAAGTAATATAAATAAGTACTAATAACTTAGTTATTTGAAATAAAAAAAATTATTATTTTTTTTATTTTAAATTATAATATATTATTATTAAATAAGTTTTAATTAATTAAATTTTATTTAAATAGTATATGATATGATAATAGGATTTTTAATAGGTTAATTGTTGAAAAATAAACTCATTTGTTTACAAACAGTAACATACAGATTGGATTATGTTCAAATTTAGTTCATTTAAACACAGAATTTTTAAAAATGATCAAATATCATTGAATATTAATTGAGTTGAGTTGACATTTACATATGCATACTACACAATTATATATTTACATATATATAGCTTCTAAAATTGTATATTTAAGTTTAGAACATTGAAAATTTTAACAACACTTCAAATATATAACCAATATTAACTTTTTTTAAAATAAAATATATATATATTCATGCATATATCAACGACATCGAAGTATTATAAATATAAATATAAATATTAAAATATAGGTGTTAATTAGATTTGTTAACACATAAGAATTGTGTGGTATATTAGTAAATTTTCAATTGTTTTTTTTTTTTGTAATGATGACGTGTAATTTGTCATTTATGAGGTATAAGTGTTGGAGGTGGAAAAAGAAGGGTGGAATATAAAAAAAATAAAAATAAGGTTGATTATTATAAAAGTGAATGCTAATGATGGATGATGTAAATGTGTGCATAATCAAGATTAATGTAAGCATCTGTGAAGCTGTTGAAGAAGAAAGTGTTTAAAAAATTGTGGTGGTTATTACAATTTTTTTTTAAAAAAAAATACCAGACTGTAGCTTTTTAGCAGCTACCACAGGTAGTCAAAGCTGCAGTTTTTTGAAAATTCAGATAAAACACAGTTTTTCAAACAAGAAAAATTACTGTGCAGCACTACACCGCCACCGCACTGCCTCCCCAAACGCACTCCTAGTTTTTAATCTTCCACAATGTCCAAATATTTGCAGATTATATTATAATAAATTTGTTTGTGTATGAGAAAGGTAATGAAGGGGATTTTTCTTATTTAGGTAAGTTGCAATACTTAATGATTTAATCAATTTAGAATAATGATTAATGTTGGGTTTATCTTGATGAAATTGGAGAGATTGAAAAAACTTGAATTAATTTCAAGTGTTTTTAATTAAATTTTGCATAAAAAATATCTTTAAAAAATAATTTTTGACTAATATATCAATATTCTTAAGAAATTATCATCTTTATAAATAAGTCTTATAAGATGACATGATATAAGTAGGCATCAAATCTCAATACTCGCATTTTGTATGTCTACTTAGAGCAATGTAGCACATATGAAGAATATGACATGACATGATATTCTCTTATATACTTCTATGAATTTTTTCATTAATTCTTATCAAATCTTATAAAAAAAAAAAGTCAAAAACACCTCAATAGCTATAAATAAGTGAAAAAATAAATAGATGAAGACGAAAAAATAAAGAGATTACCTTCGATTGTTCTGCTCCTCAGTCTTTCTCCCCCCATTTCCTTTATTTCTTTTCTGCGCCCCTCTCTTTTTATTAATGTTAATAAAATTTGAGCATAATACTCACATTCTCTCTCTCCCATTCTCATTCATTCCTTTCCATGTCCTCATCTTTTCTTTAATATTAATCAGTTTTGAGCAAAATTTACAGACAAACTGAGATTCAATATCCTGAAATGAGATTAGCCTTGATCATTCGAATTCATCCCTCCTTTTCTCTTCCCCCCTCTTTCCTTACTTTCACATGCCCCTCTCTTTTAACTAACACTTTTAAGATTTAGGTATAATTCATAGTCAAACCGAGATTCAGCATTAGAAAAGGTATGACGGATACAGACAAATGCCTCAAATAAGAAGTTATGTGAAGAGATACGTGAAGGGACAACGAAGATCTTGTTAGAAAAAATCTCAATTAAAGAGTGAAGAGGTCTAATAATAATAATTCCATTGAGATTACTAGATCTTTTTGACTTGTTCAATTGCCTTGAAGCAAACTGATCAAGGAGTCCATCAATCTAAAAATAGATATTCTCTCAGTTTGATGAAATGAGTTCACGAAGTGCTGCAAGTGAACTTATATTAGGGTTACTGTAATAAAATTTGAAACTGGCCAACACAAATTATAAACTAATTAACTCACTCACTTATTTTGACTTTTTAGAAAATTTTTTTGAATGAACATGTCGTATTCACAAATCAAGGAACTTGCCCATTATAGGGTGTCTATTTGAATGAACACATTCCAATTGCAAATTAGAGAACTCAGCCCTTGCAAATAAGTTTACTAAGAGAAATAAACATTATCTTTTCTATAAATGTCGAAGATGCTTATGTATAATCTCATATAAACGATTAAACATTAAACCCCAAACATTAAAGTTGCTAACCCCATCTGTCCCACTCGTATTATTTCCAACTAAGAGTTTGATTCCTCAATTTGCAATCAAGATTACAACAAGTGGTGCACAAATTGTTTAAACAATCATTGTTTTCCTCTATTTACATTTAATTTTCTCTATTTGTCATGTCTCTCATTTTCTTAATCTTAACAAGATGTTGGCCTAATTCAATAATTTGAAAATAAATAAATAAAACAAATGTCTTAAGTTGCTAGAATCAAGGCCTAACTCATTATATTAGTTCTAAATACTTCAAGGACATAAATTTAATAATTTTACACACCTAAACAATGCAAGATGAGAAGATTTGTATACATTTTACATAATTCCTATCCATTTATATACCACCAAAACTTTAATATTTATATTAATATCACAAGCATCAAAATGTATATTTTACTTTTTTAAAAGGTTAATAATAATGATTTTTTGATGTGATAAAAAATTTTTCACTCCCACAAACATAAAAATCAAAATTTAGGGGTTAGCTATGTAATTTCATGAGAAATGTGCGGTATGTTTGTAAATGTCCCTGAAAGAAATATCAAAAATCTATATATTTAACTAACACAAACTTTGTTTTCTATTTTTATAGCATATAAGAGTTCGTTTGATACAGCTACAACTTATTGAATAATCTGCTAATAAGCTGATTAGCCTAGTTTGGGGCAGCTTATTTGGTGCAGTGGCGTTTTGAAAACGCACCTGACCTGTTTGGGTAAATGTTTGGGTAAACTGCATTTTATTTCAAAACGCAGAAAACAATATTTTCACACCCCGAGAAAACAACGTTTTCACACCGCACCTATCTAGGTGTCGTGGGAGCTTATTGACAATGGTCCAACGGCCTAGCTTTTCCAAAAAAATAAAAATTTGTAATAGCCACCGCACCTAGCTTATTAGCAGATTATTCAATAAGCTACAACTGCCCTAAACAAAAATCTGCTAATAAGCTAGGTGCAGTAGCTATTACAAATTTTTATTTTTATTTGGAAAATTCAAACGGTTGCCAAAAAGCTGCTACCGCACACCTATCTAGTTGCGGTGTGAAAACGCTGCTTTCAGCTTTTTAAAAACGCATAAGCTGACAAAATACAGTTTACCCAAACAGACCAAGTGCATTTTCAAAATGCCACCGCACCAAATAAGCTGCCCCCAAACGGACCATAAATCTTTCATTCCATAATTTAAAAAAATATCATTATTTAAATTTTAAAAAGTAAAATTTGTATTTTACGAATTTTCATGTATAAATAAGGGTCTGTTTGGGGCAGCTGCAGCTTATCCAGCTTCTGCTGATAAGCAGCTTATCCTGATAATCTGCTGATGAGCAGCTGATCCGGATAAGCTGTCTGGCTGTTTGGTTGGCGCTTATGGAAAACAGCTGATTGTGAAAAATTGACTTTTTTGCCCCTGTTCTGAATAAGCAGTTTAGCTGTTTGGTTAGTGCGTTTTGTAAACAGCTTATTTGGAAGTTATTTTTCTTTAAATGTATAATCTGTGCAGCAGAATCTATTCTTCTCTAAACAAAATTAAAGATAAATATTCAGACAAGAAAATACCAAAAAGTTGAGTTATATTCAAATAACTACAGCATATCCGATCATATCAAACGAATATGTTACACATACAAAAGTCAAACACACATGTACATACTACTACATAGTATAATAAGAGCCCATAAAGAAAAAAAAATAACTTGTTAAAATGAACAGTAGAAATATGATAATGTTGACTTTATAATGTAGCAACATATCACGACCCATGCCACCTGCATCTGACACTCCAAAACCCTGAGCAACCTTGTCCAACGGCGATATTCTAGAAACTGAAGAACTCGAACCGCATGTGGCGTTCTCTTGTTGTGGCACTGTTGAACTCCTAGCAGTTGTGTCCAATTGGGAACACGTAGAAATAGTTCCACGTCGGCCCACCTGAAGAATTTGCAGTCGTCCGGTCCTTGTCCCCACCGCGGGCACCTGTAGAATTGTCGTCCGTAACTATGTGTCTGTCGCGATGTTAAAAGCAATGGCGGTAGTCCACATCGACACATCATTTGTCCCGACTTCCCTGAATATCTCGAGCTCATTGTCCTGTAATTATGTTAAAAAGCGTTAATCAGTCAAAAATTTGAGGGAATAAAAAAAAAGCTTGTTATTCATGAAGCAACTTCAAAAGCTTGTTTAAAAACAGAATTATCAAAGAAATTAAAACTGCAGATTTAAAGCTTCTATAATTTCTGGCACTTTGAAGAAACATAAAACTGAAATTTACCTGCAATGTCGATTTTGATGGAACAAAATATAATGAAGTTGCAAAAAAACTATTTTAAACAACTCTTTAATATGTTCAATTAAAATACAATTGTGTATTTTAAACAACTCCAAAACCTGAAGCTTGTTTCACTTGAGAATTAAAAAGATCTCAATAAGATTAAGAACAAGATTTACTTTATTTTCTTATTATGGGATTTCGTTATTCATGATGATGAAATAAGTTCAATTCGTCATCAATTTATGACAATTTTATAAAGTATTTTCAATTTTATAAACATTTTTTTTAAAGTTTCAGCCTTAGGATTGATTTTTCAAGAGGCTTACACCTCATCTCACCTCAATAAACAGAAATGGAACCGGTGCTGCCAGCGTCGATGTAGATGTTCCATTTGCAAAAGATATATGTTGAAAACCTTAAAGGCTCATAAATTTGATTCTAATGTCTTAAAGTGTATCTTTATCATAAATGAAGCAATTCAAGAGGTATAAATGTTGTTACCTAAATACTTATATTCATATCTTTTTTGTGGTAGAAAATACAACGCATGCTAACTTCTATTAATCTTGAGTGGTTACTTCAGCAATGAATTTACATACATAGCACCCAATTCGTATGCATTTACTTATCCCGCACCCAAACTTTGATTGCTAAAAGCTAAGCACCTTGACCTATGTATAAAAAGATGCATGAAAAAGTGAATTATACAATTTACATAGGTTGGGTGTTTTGGATGTAAAAATCAAAGTTTGGGTGTGAGATAAGTAATTGTATCAGAATAGGGTGCTATGTAAATTCCCAAAAAAATTAATCTACTTGATTGAGTAATATTACCTTTGAGTTCAGCAGTGCAGGTTAGAGATACATTTGACTGTATGAAAATTCATAAAAATGGCATTCAAGTGGTAAATGGTAATCTATCAGTTTTACTGAAAAAATGGATGATCAACAAACCAACCCATCACACTTTAAAGAGTCAAATAGCAATATAAGGAATCATATCATGAAGGCTTATGCTGCCGGAGCTTATCTATTACACACTGATCTCTTGTGATCAACTTTATAATCATGAGTTTAAAGATAGGTAAGTCTTTCCACAAAACACGATCCAAATATTATGGAGTAGGAAAGTGCAAAGATGAAAGAAGTGAAAGCATTTCACATTCCAGGCTTCTAGCAAAAACATAAGAGTAAAAAAAAAAAAAGCTGCATAGATATGAAAGGGAAATAAGTTATGTAATACGCAGTAACTGGTACATGTCTATTAAGCTAATTCAACATGAATTGGATGAAAAATTTGCTAGCATTGAGAGTACTATAAAAAGCTAATTCA